GAGGTTCCAGTTGGGTTTAAAAAGAGCCCCTGCCTCAAAAAAAAAAAAAAAAAAAAAAAGAAAAGAAAGACCTGCTAATTATAATTCCACTGAGAACAAGGGTTGGATAAAGGCACTTCCTGCCAAGTGTGACAACCTGACCTGTGAATTCAGTACCTGGCACCCACATGGTGGAAGGAGGGAACTGTATCCCACAAGTTGTCTGACTTCCTGTACATGCATGCCATGGCACACATGTACCTACACATAGACACACACACACACACACACACACACACACACACACAATGAATGAAATGACATAATTATCACTGATGAGTACTAGCAACAAAATAAACGAAGAATAAAATGGACTAACAGGGTTTGGGGGTAAAGTAAGGAAGACAGGGAAAGGGAGCACCAGATGCAAAGTTCCTGAGTTGTGGGAAAGCTCCTCCAGTCAGTCTGATACATAGCAAAGATGGACTGGCCCAGTATAGGAATGCATAAATGGATAGTGGGCTCCCAGGGCAGTGAAAAGGTGTATGGACTGTATTTCTAGTGTGTCTGTGGGGGGGGAGAAGGATGCCATGTGACTAGGTTTGGGAGAACACAGAGGGTTGCCTGGAAGACACATAAAGGATGACTCAGGAAGATGGCCTGAAGAATACAAAGGCCCCAGAAAGCAGTACTCAGGAGAGATGACCACAGTCTCACCTAAGATGGTAGTAGTGGGGTACTGATGGCATTATACTTGGGAGAAGAGTGAGTTCCAGCTACTCTGGGCTACCTAGAAAGCCTCTGTCTCATTCCACGTTCAAACAAAAACAAACAAACAAACAGCCCACCCTCACAGAGCACACTTGGGATGGCCTGGGGTTGTCTGGCACACGGGAGACTGGGGAGATTTCTTACAAAGGGACAGGTTCTGGAGGTGGTGTTGTCCCAGGGTTCTGAGCGCTCTTCTCTGGGTTCTCAAAGCCAGTTCCCAGCCCCATCCTTGTTCAGGCTGGCCTCCTGTCTGCCTGGCCCCTGCCTACAGTGTGACAGCTGTCGCCCCTCCTGATGAACCAGGCTACCGACCCCAGCACTGCCCAGTTACAGAAGCGAGAGGGGCCAAGGGCTCCAGTGACAAGGTCAGACCAGCCTCCTGCATGGGTGGCAGAGCAAGGCTGGTGTGGACCAACCCGGAGCATCCCACACACCCTTGATGGTGGAAATGCCCAGAAAGCAGCCCCTGCTCCCACCAGCATGTCCACAAGGAGCAGCTCCCTCTCCAGCTCATGAATCCGCTCATTCTTCAGCTCAATGACATGGTGCAAGCTCTCCAGCTCCTGCTCCCAGAACAGACCAGGGCTTCCGTGATCCTGGATAGGGACAGAGGGACCTTGTCAGCCCAGCAGGTAGAGGGGGACACAGGCCGCCTTGCTTCCCCTCCTGCCAGCAGCTCACGTGGTGGCCTCAGGTGGGCGTTCACCTCCATCTCACAGCCCATGCCACACTTTCTCTCAAACTCTCCCACAGACACTCTTTGAAGCCTGTCTAGTAAAGGTGCTGGGATTGGTGGGCTGAGGGGCTGTGTTGTGTCGGGTTTGCTAGTCACCCCGAATTCCCGAATTCTCTCGGGTACCAGAAGGCTATGTGCTTTACCCTAGTCTCTCTCCTCTCTCTCAGAGTGACATGGGGACCCACTTTCTTGCTCCTGTGGAGGTGAGTGTGTCAGGCCTGAGGCTTCCTGTCTCCTGTTGCCCACCCTTAACCTCTCTGCTGCATTATGGAAGAAGCCCCATTCGTGTTCTGCACCTACCTGGATGTGCCTCTTATAGACCTGGCTAAGGAGGGACCCCTGCACTCCGTTCATCCCGGCCCACACGGCCTCCTGTGATGCGCACAGCTTTGCATTGGTGTCCTCGAGGAGGTGGCAGATGGAGTCAGTATCAAGCCTGGCTTGTCAAGGTGAATTTTATTATATCCCAGACAAGGAAGGGACTGGGGTTCAAGGCATCTCTTGCCTCCCTGCACCCTCTACCCCTCACCCTTCAAAGAGCAGAGGAGAGTTAACCCACTGTTAACACAGCTTGAAATGTACCAGCCCCACCTCTCACTATAGTCTTTAACAGCTCCCATGATGGTTAATATTGTCAATTTGACAAGATCTAGAATCACAGAGGAGACAGACCTCTGGGCATGCCTAGGAGGAACCTTCTAGATTAAGTTAAGTGGGATGGGAAGACCCACCTTAAATATGGGCAGCACTATGCCATGGGCTGGGGGCCTGCACTGAATGAAAAAGAGCAAGCTGCTGAGCACCAGCATCTGCCTTTCTGCTTCCTGACTGGGGACACCATGTGATCAGCTGCCTCTTGCTCCTGCTGTCATGCCTTCCTGCCCTGATGGACTGACTCGGACCACGAGCCAACATAAACTTGTCCTTCCTTCAGCTGCTTCTGGTCAGAAATTTGGTCACAGCAATGAGAAGAGTCATAAATAAGTTCTCCAAACCCTTGGGATGATGTCCTGGCATTCAGGGCCAGCGTCAGCCTGCATTTGATACCGAGCTATGCCGGGGTCCTTTGCTCCTGTGTATCTAGTGGCTCAGCATCACATCACACTTCAATCACAGAGTGCCCTGTCTTCAAAATTGCCCACTGAGCAGTATCTCCTTGGGTAGTCCCTTTGCGGCAGAGGCCAACCTCTCCTCATGGCTCCCAGGCTTCTGCCCTGAGGCCGTTGTCTCTCCTTGGCCCCCTCACATCCCTGGCATCCTTGACTTCCTTCAGTTCCTCAGACATCCCATGTTTTCCTTCTCTTCCTCCATGTTTCCCAGCAAGCTGCTTGATTCTGCCTCAAGCTTCCTTCCTGCCCTTTCTCACTGAAGCCAGCCTACCTTTCCAGCCTACCTTCTAGGCTCTGGCTTAGCCCTATTCCTTCTGGGAAGTGTCTCCTGAGTGGAACACCTGCTTTCATGATCCCATAGGTCCCTGGGTCTTCTCCCTACCAGCTCATCATAACAGAAGTCCATGCCCTCTCCAAGATCTTACCTATAGTCCTTGGGAAATGTTTTCATTTCATTTCCGTCACTGTGATAAAACAGTCCAATAAAAGGCAACTTAGGGGAGGAAGGAGGGAGGGAGGGAAGAATTGAGGCCTGTGAGATAGTTCAGCCCCCGGCGACCTGAGTTTGATCCCTAAGACCTGCATGGTGGAAAGAGAAAACCCATTCCATCAAGTTGTGCTCTGACTTACACACACACACACACACACACCATGGTACATTGCTCCATCCTGCAGGGCGGGAGACAGAGACACAAACTCCCAGGGACCTGGAATGATGGGACAAGAGACACGAAGAATGACAGCAAGACAAAGAACTCTGATCAAGCTGCAAAAGTTTATTTTTCCACGGGGATTCTTATACAGGCTGAAGCGGGAAATTAGCTGGGGAAGGGGAAGGGAAGGTGTTGTCTCAACGGGTTAATGAATGCCCCTTAGGATGAGGGGAACTGGCGCCGTGAGTCTGGCTGCAGGGTAAGGAAATTGGTGGTTGCTCAGGCTTATCTTGAGTCATCGGAAAGGTTGCTTATCTTAGGGGGCAGGGAGGACTGATCAGCAAGTTCTCAGGAGGATGCTTGCCCTGGGTGGGGGGGCAGGGAGGGCTGCCAGGCAGCGTGGTCTCCCACAGCCTCAGACAAGTCCAGTGGAGGCAATTCCCCAATTGAGGCTCCCTCAACTCAGGTGTGTCAAGTTGACACTAAAGCTAACCAGCGCACTAACCGTCCATAACTCTAGTTCCAGGGGATCCGACATGCTCTTGACCTCTGCAGGCATTACACAACATAGGTGCATTTATGTACATGCAGGCAATGCACTCATACACATAAAATAAAAATCATAAATCAAATATTTTTTTAAAAGAAACAGGCAATCAACCAACAAATCTAAAATAAGTAAAACCGTCCTTCAAAACTGAAAGGGAAGCCAGGGATGGAGGCCACACCTTTAATCCCAGCACTCAGGAGACAGAAGTAGAGGGTGAGTTCTGTGAGTTCCAGGCTAGCCTGGTCTACATAGTGAGTGCCAAGCCAGCCAGTACTACATGAGACCCTGCCTCAAAAATAGAGATTAAGACATTCACAGATGAATAAAAGATGAACAACTGTTATTGTGGTCACAGTGGTGGTGATGGTGGTGGTAGTGGTGAGTGGTGGTTTGATGGTGGTAATGGTGATGATGGTGATGGTGGTGGTCATGATGGTGGTGGTCATGGTGGTGGTAGTGGTGAGTGGTGGTTTGATGGTGGTAATGGTAGTGATGGTGATGGTGGTAGTCATGGTGGTGGTGGTTGGTGGTGGTCATGATGGTGGTGGTCATGGTGGTGATGGTGATAGTCGTGATAGTGGTAATAGGGAGTAGTGGTGGTGATGGTGCTGGTGGTTACAGTGGTGATGGTGGTGATGGTGCTGGTGCTGCTGATGGTGGTAATGATGGTGCCTGTGGTAGTTATGATGGTAATATTGGTGGTGATAATGATGTGGTGATGGTGGTAGTGGGGAGCAGGGGTGGTAGTGATGGTGGTGGTGGTGATAGTGGTCATTTTGGGGTTGATGATGATGGTGGTGGTACTGGTGATGATGATGGTAATGGTGGTGATTCTAGGGACTGAAAGTTGAAGGGTATTTACCACTAGTCCTTCCCTACAAGAAATGGCAAAGGAAGGCACTCGGGGTAAAATGGAGAGAGACTAGACAGCAATTCAAGATCATACAAAGGAAGATACTTGATGTGATAAATACATGGAAAAATATTAAGAACTAATACTATATTCTTTTGGGGTTTTATTTTCTATAAGACATAAAAGGCAAGTATACTTTAAAAAATCACTGTAAGAAGATGCAATACATGGCAGGAATGTAAGTGGGAAGAATACTCTTTATAACAGAAGAGGTGTTTTTTAAGTTTTTTATTGAATTTTTTCAAATTTCATACAATATATTTTGATCATAGGGGCTGGAGAGGTGGCTCATCCATTAAGAACATTGGCTGTTCTTGCAGAAGACCCGGATTTGAATCCTAGCACCCACATGGCAGCTAACAACTGTTCATAACTCCAGTTCCAGGGGATCCAACAGCCTCTTATGCATGACACAGGTGCACTTAACTACATGCAGGCAATACACGCATACACATAAAAATAATAAATATTAAAAACAGTATATTTTGATCATATTTAGACCTCCCACTGCCACCTGAACCCCCTTACCAATTTCATATTCTCTCTCTATAAATGATAGATGATAGATACATGATAGATAGATACATGATAGATAGATAGATAGATAGATAGATAGATGATAATAGATTCATAGATGATAGATAGATGATGATAGATGATTGATAGATACATGATAGATAGATAGATAGATGATAGATAGATAATAGATACATAGATTCATAGATAGATGATAGACATGATAGATGATGATAGATGATTGATAGATGATAGATAGATAGATAGATAGATAGATAGATAGATAGATAGATCAATGATAGATAGATAGATATAGAGACATAGAGATACAGAGGTATAGACCAGGCTCCAGTGGATGGACCCATACCAAAGGACAGTTAGGGATACAAATTAGGCTTGATAGGCCTTAGAGAAGACTGGCTCTCCCACTCCCAGCAGTTATGGGTTGCCAATAGTTTCTCAGCTGGGGTTGGGGTTTCCTACCCACTTCCCACTTCTACTGGGATTTTGTCTGGCTCGAGTTTACTTTGAACTTCCGCATGCTGTCACCATTGCTGTGAGTAACCTCTCAGCTGTCTGGAAAACTGTTTCCTGTAGTCATCTACCACCTCTGGCTCTTATAATCTTTCTGCCCCTCCCCTCTTTGAAATGATCCCTTAGCCTTGGGAGGCAGAGATTTGATATGTGTCCTACTCAGAGATAAGCATGCTGCAGTCTCTTATTCTCTGCACATTTGTCAGTTGTGGGTCTTGGTATTGATCATCATCTGCTGCATAGGGAGTTTCTCTCTTGAGAGTTGAGAAATGTATTAGTCAACAGGTGTAACAATAAGTCATCTTGAGTCAGTTTAATACTATGTCCATTTAGAATAACAGTGGTGGATTCTCCTCTATGGCCTGTGACCTGTCTAGCCACAGGTTTCTACTCCTGACACCAGTGTCAGGTATGGGTTCCATCTTGTGAAGCAGACCTTAAATCCAATCAGAAAGTAGTTGGGTATTCCCATAACAGTCATGCCACTATTGCACCAGTGGGCATATCTCACCAGGCCAGTTATTGTTAACAGCTAACAGGATTCATAGCAGGGCACGGTTGATGATTATTCTTTTCCTCCAGCAGCATGCATAGCATCTTCCAGCACTCTGAAAGCTAGTCTGCAGAGATGCCGCTTTGCAGTTCCTCCCGGCCTGGTTTCTCCTTGTTTGTTCTACAGCTCATGTATGTAGTGTCTTCAGCAATAGGATCTTAACATCAAATTCTCATGGTTAACCAAGATTGGGACAATGGCCAGTACTATTTGGTGAGTAGAGTTTTGAATGCTGTTATGGTTTGGATCTGAAATGTCCCACACAAGCTCATATTCAGAATGTTTGATCTCCTGAATGATTGCACTATTTTGGAAAGTTCTGGAATCTATAAGAAATTAGTCATCACTGTAGGAAGTCCATTGCTGAGGGCAGGTCCCTGGGAATATACCGTGCCCTGACTTCTTTCTGTATCCATTTTCTTTGTTTTCTGTCCACTGTGATATGAACAGCTCTCCTACACCATGGCTCTGAAATCATGAGCCAAAATAAATCCTCCTTTAAATTGTTTCTGTCAGGGATTTTTGTCACAGCAACCAAGAAAGTAACTAACACATACATTATTGAAGTTAAGTTGTTATCCACTTAAAATAGATGATAAAAATTTGAACTGTTAGGAGCTACAGAGTGTATACTGTTCTTCTAGAGGACAAAAGTCCCCAGCATCTACATTGGGCAACCCACAAGCACCTGTAACTCCAGATCCAGGGAATCCAGCACCCTCTTCTCACCTCCTAGGAACCAGCACTCATGTA